GTGTCTGCCTGACGTCAGGAATCGATCATTATAAATAATTCATTGAGTTATTATAAATATTTATAAAAAATAATGTAATTATTATCGACATTTTTATTCCTAAAAGAACATTAAAAATGTTAATTTTTGTTTCACTGACGTATTGACAGTGACCATATGTCATATTCATCTATTAATTCTGATAATTCGCATTCTGAACATGGAACTTCCGGTTTAGACACTTTCATGTAGGCGTCACTCCCTTGAGGGGTCACTAGGCGAAATGACTCCAGGCATTAATGCATATTTTCTAGCTTTGCAAGATGTGATTATAAAATGACGGTCAATGAAGCTAAGGGCGTGGCAGTTAATCTAAATTTACATCTTTTTCTGTTCAGGCACTTCGATACGACAACAAACGAAGAGTTGGAGGGCCGAGCACAAAGCCGCGAGGACGCTCGGCATAATAATGGGCGCGTTCCTCCTTTGTTGGCTGCCATTTTTCCTTTGGTAAGCGGTAACGATAGTACATTTTACATAAGTGCTCCAATTTTTATTTGAATACTCCGGCAACCATAATCCTCGTTAATGCCTTTCATTTCAGTTCATTCTTTTGCCCTGACGATGTTACGCAAACGATCATTATCTTCGATTGTTAAGTTGCTTTCCATTAATTGGTTTAAGATAAATTTTATTAAAGTAGGTTAGAAACTATGAAAGGGTTTGCTCTTTCAATATACCATCGTGCAATACACACACATTAGCTCCCTGTGCATGGATATGGGATTCCTATATCCATGGCCCTGTGCAATCTTCTGTTCTATGCAGTCGCTATTGCGCGTGCGTTTGCGTTTGCTCATTGTACGGTGCACAATGTGCAGTTTTTCAGTTAATCTTTATTCATTCCTTACATATGACATTATCCTGAAGATAGTATGTAAATTTTGTACTCGTATGTTATTGCATTCATGTTCATTGATGAATCCATCTTAAGTGCAACACCCAAGAATTGATGCAAACCCCTTTTCAAAGTATAATCAAATATTTAAGTTAGGGGCGACGAGCATTTCTCTAATTCTCGTGCTATGTTAGACGATCCCCACTGCAGCTTATCAGCGATGAGCCTACTGACGTGTATGTGTATAGCTCTGTCTCTTTCTCGAGAATAAACGTAATCCTGTGAGACGATTCGAATCGAAGGCCCATGCTCTTAACTGAGACTATCTTGGAATATTTAATGCTTGCAGTATGAATGTAGCAAAAATTCAGAAAAAGTTTAATGTACTACTATAAATATTTGTAATATATATAAGAATTTTTTCAAATTTTTCCATACACAATAATAAATAAAAATTCCCGAAGATTGCTCAGATTTGAAGTGGTATTCCTTGTAATACAATTCTCGACATTTTTTCTTCGAATAAAATTCTGGAACAATCAAAGACATAATACTATACGAGCTGTACATTGAGAACTTTTTCATATTCGTCCGTTCATTATTTTTTTTTATCAAATAAAAATTCCTGAAGTTCTCAAATTCTGGAATAATGAAACGTAATTAATGCTACATGCTTTTATTCCTTTCTCCGATACCAACGTAGCAGGAATTCTGAAATAATTCAGAGATGTACTATTAAACGAATAGTTCGTGTGAGAATTTTTTCAAATTTTAATATTGTAAGTTGCAGGTGATTAGAAATTGTGAAAAAATTCAGATATAAATTACCTATCGCTTACCTAATGCTTCATTAGTCGAGGAAACAGCTGACAACTGGAAACAGCTGAGTCAAAAGTAGGCGTTGAAAGTCACAGCGTGGAAGAAGCTCGTCACCCCTGATTTAAATAATTAAAATATCTTTCTATCATTTATTTTCGATCATTAATTCTTTGTTTTGACGTGATTACAAATTTTAATCGTTTTATATTATCACATTGTATTTTGCAATGTCTATGTTGCACCTCTCCTACTTAACACTTTCCTGCTTATCTCGCATCGTGTTTTCATCCACGTAGGAAATCTCGACACCGGAAGCTACCGCGTGATACGGGGCGGCAGTGCAGCGTTTCGTTCCGCCTATACGGCCAAGTTTCCAGAGTCTGTTGAATACTCGCGAATGCTGAGCAAGCCGCATGTTTTATTAATGCAAAGCCGAGGATGCGCATCCCTCGCGAGTTTGTCGAGAGTTTACCCCGCGTCGCGACTCGTCGGTCCAACTATTTGCTTGACTAAGCGATACGCGCCACGATGTTCCCCGAGAAAATCGCGACTCCTTATTCTTTCTATTTTTCAAGAATAACAAGACGCCCGTGCCGGGTTAGCAGTTCCCCAGTTCTCAACAGACCTCGAGTTTCAATGTAAATACGGGCGACAATTTTCATGAAAACTCTGGCTTTGAAAAATATGTTTTAATATGAGCAAAGTACATGCAATATTTATGAAGCAAGACGAATTTCGTTTTTCTTAGTGACCCTCCACGGACTGACTGGACACCTTAGTGATGATTTCTGATTAACTGCATAAAAGTACGCCTAATTAACAAAAATCTTACGGGATGTTCAGCGAAATTTTGAGTTCAAGAGATGCCTCCGCCTTAAGAATCACACAGACTCGCACCACGCAAGATTTTTTTTACGGCACGGCTACGTTACGGTAATGTGAATGGTCCATAAACCGGAAATAGAGATAAAGCGAAAGTGTAAATATACTGCTATTTAACGTCAGAATTCGATCATTATACAAAACTCGTGGAATAAATATTGGTTTGGCACTCTTATTGGTCAGTGTTTTTCATTAATAATTCAAAAACTATGCCGCACTTCGCATTTTGGCAAAAAAAATTGTTGCTCAGAAACACTTACAGAATCACCTCTCTTCGGCTCACTTTTTCTGGAACATCCTGTATATCTTTATTATTTCTGTCATTGATCTTCTTATTGAAATTTCCCATTTACGTCACTTGATAATTAATTATCCACTTCTTAATTATCCTTAATGATATTGAATATAAAATATCAGTTTATAATTAATAGTTACATGACTTTATAATCCTTGCAATTATCTTACAACTATCTCACTAATTATTCGTACATACTATCTTACTAAGTACTCTTACATACTATTTTACTCACTACTCCTACATACTGTCTTACAAAAATTATTTACAATGCACGTGAGAGTGAGAGAGTACATAAGTATATTCTGTCACTATCTAGTATACAAAACTGTCATTTATTTTCTACTCATAAATCTTCCCCCTTCTGTAGACTTCCGGCGTTTCTTTTTTTTTTCTCAACCATTTCACTTCTTTCTCTCTTTGTCATACCCTCCACCCCTCTGTACCATTCCAACCTTATCACTTTGTCAATCTCCTTGTAGCCACGCACTTCCTTTCACAATACTTTCCTTCTCATTGTCTCTCTCCCTTCTTTTCTCTTATTACATTATGTCTTTGGTCCGTACCTTTCTTTTACCTCCCTCGCCTCCCTTAGTAACCGGTTCCTATTTTCGTTATCCCTTTCCGTAGCACTCTCTTCCCATCTTATCACCCACTCTTCTCCCTTTCTTTTCTCTCCTAAAACTTTTTCTTGCTCTTCCCTGCTATACCTATTTTTCCCCAATTTCTCCGAAACATCCCCCAACACGTGTTCCCATGTTCCCACCTGCTACCCACATTCCCTACACACTTTTTTATCGCTATTCTCCCAATATTTTAACTCTTTTATTTCATTTCCTTACCCGAAATCGTACTATCCTCCTTCGCACTCTTCTCCTTTCATCTCTTCTTTAATAGTTCCATATTCCCTCTACCTTCACCATTCCACAACATATATGTATTGCATCTTTAATCCCATTTTTCTTGTTTTAGAAATTGTTTAATAATATCCATGCTAAATGAATAATTTATGCAAGGAATATTCTCTGTACTGGAAGAATGTTTTTTCACTAGTATTCTTCATTTTTACTAACTTCGTATTAGTCTATTTATTTACTATTATTTGATACCCAACAGGGGAACGTGAATTCTCGTTTGGTCATGAGTGGACCAACACTTCGTATGCACTCGTGGACAATTTTTTAATTAAAACGACAGGACATGGTGTTCCAGCGCGAACACGATTCTACTCCCATTTCCCCAGGCCCCAGTTGGCGTTCTGTCGAAATGAATTAAAAGACTGCACGGCTAGAAATTCGATACGAAATATGAGATGCGTTCCTTCGTAACAGTTGGCAACAATTAACAGAGAAACAAGGAAGTTGTTGATAACGGGCTTTTATCAGGAAATACGATGACAGTAACGCTTAAAGTTTTTAGACATAATCGTCGATCATTATACGTAACCAGTTGGGAATTAGTATAATAGTATTAACATATATAGATGTGAAAATTAATGAGCAATAAGGCGAGTAGGTTATTGTAAATAATTAAGAATTATCTTTGATTAGGACAAAGAGATGTAAAGTGTGTAAACGCGAAATTATAAATGATTAGCATCGCGACGTGCTGAGAGTATTGATGGCGAATTTCGGAAACGATAATAGCAGAGATGAGGAGGGAGATTGCCTATGAGCCTGTTCTAAAGCAAAGTGCAGATGGCAATATTTAAATGATAAAAGAAACTGTTATTTAAAACAGATCCTTCAAATAATTACTATAAATATTCTACTTTGCATAAAATTCCGTAACGTAATATAATTAGTGCGGTCGAACGAGGGATGCTAGTTTAGAATATAACATAAATGAATTTAATTCTTGCATACAAAATCAATATTGGAATCTAACTAAATTAAATAATTCTTAATTTTTCAGGTACCTGACAACGTCACTGTGCCGCGAGGCGTGTTACTGTCCAGACACGGTGGTGTCCGTCCTATTTTGGATAGGCTACTTCAACAGCGCCCTGAACCCGCTGATCTACGCGTATTTCAACCGCGACTTCCGCGAGGCCTTCAAGGACACGCTGAAAAGCGCCCTTCCGTGCTGCGCCAGTTGTTGGAAGACACCGTCGCAGTTTGTCTAGCGTGAGAAACCCCCGTGAACAGTCGCGTCGAGCATGCTTCGTGTCCCGAATCATCGGACAAACCCACACATTTTAATTAAGCTTGTGGTCGGAACTTGTCCAATGCCGGACGAAAGTCTGTTCAGCTCGAATCCTTCGATGGCCGGATAGCTAAAAATAAATTTGACGACACGTCGCAAGGTTCGTTGAAGAGATTCTTTGATGTTTATACGGCCGAGAAATTGGAGGAAGTGATTGTTAACGGGAAATATAAAACTATTCTCATAAAGAGTGATTAGAAGTATACTGTTGTGAATAAGGAGAGAGAAACATTTATCATAACTTTTTTTAATTAATCTAATATAAATGATCATACATCTTGCAAAGCTCTCATTCCACGTGAATCAATCCTCTGCTTCTCTTTGAATTCCATTATATTTCTACTGTTGTATCTTCAAATTTTATATGTATTTTTATCGAATGAGTCGGTAAGGTATACGAAAT